AGGACCCAGCACTGACGGTAGCATATTGTGATGTTTTGCTCCCGAGTTCCAGTCTGTCTGTGAGTAGCGATCATGACGTACTGATGGTCTTCCTTTGCTATGCAGCTCTATGGAGTATCGACTTCTCATTAATTATAATAGGTCGGCATTTCAGATGGAGAGTATTGGTATGGAACAGTAGAGTACCTTGGACAGGAGCGCGCCTTTTCGCAATTGTGCTGCACTCGTACAGGATAGGGTGTGAGATGCTACTTAAGCCTTGCACCATCCAAGCTACCAAGGAATACTATGACACCGCATCATATTGGCACAAGCTCGTCCTCCGTGTTTTCAGGTTAGTGTGTGACTTCCGGCTGGATATAAGGTCGATTTTCTACATAATCTGGTCCATTTATAGAGCCACAGTAACGATATACGATTAACCAGATTATGCAATGAAATTCCCGGACATCCATAGAACCCTTGGCGCTTGGTCGGTTTTGAATTTTGACGGTTGGGGTTCACAAGCGGTGACCTACGGTAGACTGACTTTATTATTAAACTTTTCAATTTTGGTCGGGTTTTGTATTCCGGGGGTGGGAGTAGATCAATTGCCCATATCTGGATTGGGTTGAGAATATTGTAAGTGATCGTGCCGTACTAGTATGATTGTCTCGAACTGATCCGGTAGGGTGCAGTACTATTGCCTTTCATGTTGAACCCTATAAATTTAAACAAACCACATCTCCGACGATGTCTCTTCAAGTAAAAAAGGTTATTCGATGCGCCCTAATTCAATAAAATGATGGCATCCTCACTCACTCACTCACCCACTCACTCACTCACTCAAGTACTAGAATCACAAGTCTGAGCCCTCCTCCATGAATCGTCTAAACACCCTAACAACCTTATTTAACTCAAAGACCGGAAAAAAGAAGAAAGAGTAAAAACCAACATGCCTCGCCCAAGTCCTAGCCACACAATACCTGGATACCGACCCTCCACTAATCCCAGCAAGCCAAATCTGATCAAGGCGTTTAACACACAATCCAGAACACTCTTCGATCAAAAGGCTAGAGGTTACGAACATGTTGTTTTTCTGGGTATTTACTGGGAGGACGAAGATATGCCTTGTCGTCGTGAGGTACGTTGCGCTTCAGTAACCCAGGGTTCAAGTCACCGAGTGTAGCCACGGGGGGGGGGTGCGCTTCTAACCTGACCTTAATGACTTAGGTATTCCTCCTAGCCTCCTTCTTCGAAAAAGTGTTCCGGGCTAGTTTGAAGACATTCGCAATCCCTAGGGTGAACAGCCAGGGGAGTCTCAATGCCATGATGTCCAAGTTCGTCATGGAGAACCAGGGTGATGGTCGATTGTTAATAGTGCACTACGGCGGGCACGGGACTTCGAGTAATGGGTTGGCACTTTGGGCTGCGTGAGTCATGATGCGTTTCATCTTATCTCAACCTCTCACATCACAATCTTTTAAAAAAACTAACAAAGATTGATCCGATCTGACTATTGTGTCACAGCTGGCAGACATTAAAACACCCCCGCGGCCTCCCCTCGCCGACAGTCGACTGGTTCCGCACCCAACCCATCCTCATGAGCCCCAATGACAAAGGGGACGTCCTTCTCATAATCGACGCCTGTCACTCCTCCGCAGCCGCAGGCGCCCGCGGTTCCGTCTCCAACAGAAAAGTGGAACTAATTGCCGCGGCCACTGTGAACTCCACCACCCCCGGCCCCGGACATCACTCCTTCACCGTTAACCTCATCCGGATAATGAAAGAGCTCATAATATCTGAAGGGAAATTTTCCGTCTCGACCCTGAATCGCCATCTTCAACTTCGGGAGGCGTCCCTCCATGCTACTCCTCACTATTCAGATTTGTCGGCTAACGACTTGCCGAGTATCATGTTGTGCCCCGTGGGCGCGAGCGCTGTGTCGGCTGGACACCGCCGGGAGAGGGCGCAGAAGAACAAGGCGTATTTGAACCTTGTGGTTGGGATTAACCAGGAGATTGATGAGAAGGTCCTTGGGGAGATAGTCGCCTGGCTTAGGAAGTCGCCACCCGGGATAGTTTGTGAGTGCGAGATGCTGGACGTGTTGAAGAGGGATGGGAGTGCTGCTGCGGGGCGAAGGGTTGGCATGGGGGAGATGTCGAATCAGGGGCCTCATGTCAGGTCGGGGCCCTCTTTGGATGCGGACGATCTGGCTAGTATTGCTATCGGGAGGTGGGCAGAGTACTCGGGCGCGGGAGCGTGACTGGTTTGTTTTATCATAGTGATAGGGGATATAAATTCTGGGTATCGAGTAATAGAGTATCACGGGCCTACAGTTAGACTTAGATACTATAGAAGGCCGTTATTCGTTATTTGTTCACTTTCCTTTGTTTCTATTCGGACTTGGTATGATAGAGAACTGCCTCCGCTCAAACCAATATTCCCCGATTCTTAATCAGAACCTGTAGGAAAGCTTAAGAGCCTTTCCGCATATGAATTAAATTTCATGCTTTCATCTCGCATCACTCGAAGTGGACCGGAGTTAAGGCCAATACATCTCCCACCACCCCCCTTTTCCAACTCAATGCATCCCCTTAGACTCCATATATCTTCAGCACCACCTCCCCAGCTCTAACTAGCAGTTTCCGACGTATATCGCTACTCAAGTGATGTCGTCCATCAAATCTATGAAAACTATTTTACGGTGTCGTGCTGTGGACGATTCTTGTGTCAACACCCACTACCGGTACAGTACGCACTCGAACCCCCTCGCAGACCAAACAGCAACCATGCACGAGTGATTTATCATGACGACACGAGAGGAGCATGCTGTGTCATTGGACGCTAGGGATAATAGGGAACTTGGTGCATTCTTGAGCAAGAGTAATGGGAGCCGCAAAAGTGATGACGGGACCTTTATCGTTGATAACTCTCCCCACGGGGGTGTCATTTTATTTTTCCTATTTGACGAAATAGCAGCTCTAAGTTGATGTGTTGGGAGTGTGTATTTACCTTAGTTAGGTCGGGGATGCGGAAGGGAAAGGAAACGGGAGGAATTCACGATGGTCGCCTTTAAACTTGGACATAGAGTGATTTATGGGATCGCGTGCTGGTGAATTGGTTGGTTTTGATGGCAAAAAAGTGCAAGATCAAAGGCAGTAACCGTCGATGATGCGGTACATGCGGTAGAGCCAGTCTGCCGGCCAAAGCGGCACAAACACGATACCGTTTACACCACCGCCTTTACATAGCAAGGCATGCATAGTGACATTTGCTATTGCGGACTGAAACCGGCAAGAGGGCTATATCGACTATATCATATACCTATCACAGATACCTTATCCGAATTTGCAAATATTGATTGCGAGGTTGCACCAAGTAGGATCAACCTGTCTTTACTGATTCCATCTTCCCTTGGTGGGTCGATCTTCCAGCCGCAGGGGACGGACTATGCCACAGATTTCGGTATCCGGGATCTTGCCAGAGTGCTTTATATGGCGGGGAAAAATGGGCATTTGCAATTGGAGTTGGGTAATCTTAATTGCCCTCGGGATGTGCGGGATCCCTCCTGGCACATTTCTTGGGTAGGAATGATTGAATTATCGCATACCCGTGAAATGGCAAGGTCTTACATTGAAGTCTTCAGCTCCTAGGAATCTTGGCCGGAGTCCGAGACACAGCCCTGAGTTATGCACTACCTACATCATTGACAGAATCTAAAGTGTCATTAGGTGGCGCAGGCAACGTCAGGACACCTAAAGGTCAAGGATAATATCAATTCGTTCAACTAATTTACCGTCAGCTTCCTCCAAACAAATGGTATCATAAAGATTGGAACCTCCATGGATGCCCCCATCCCTTTCCACACCCCCGTGGTAACAAAGGAAGTCCATATCTAGAGAACCTCCCCAGTAAATCACTATAGCTCCAGAACGATCCACTAACTTCCACAATCAGCCACAACATCCTAGCTTCCTTCCACAATCCCTAACGCTGATCCCTTAGCTTCAAAACACCAAAGTAAGTGCCTTTTGAGGAATGGGGATCGCTCTCGTGCGCTGCCCGTTGGCCCGATGCTGGAAGGTGGTAATTTTGACGCGCTGTGCAATATCGCAACCGGGAACCCGACCTCGCAGGAAGCCTTACCCCCCCCTAAAGGATAAATATACCCTGTACCAGACACGTCGGAGTGACTTTGCCTCCCGGAAATGCCCTTCCACGTCTCACTAGGTAAACCACATCCGAAATGTCTCCTGGGCACCGCTGCAGGGTATCCAGTGAGTGTGCCATCCCGGTGCATCACATTACTCAAGATAGCTCCACCGTGGTGTGATTTCACACAAGGTCACTCGAAGCAGTACCCAGGCTGCGTACGGCTTCCGCACTGTCGTTTCATTGGATTGTTCCCAGGCTTGGGATAAAATCATAGGTCCCGCGGCCTGTCTATTTTCTTACTCCGGCGCCCGGACCCACTCGAGTAACTAGCATGGATCATGCACAAATATGATACAACGAGGAATGGCGGTTGCGGGAGTACTCGAGTACGGTAGTGGAAGCCGCTCAGGCTATTCAAAAGAATCGTTAGCGCAGTGTCCGGGAGTAACATCAAAGCAATATTACACCCCCACACTACACTCATCACTCGCGTGCCTCAAAAATCGTTACCCCACCGGCTACTACCACCATCAATTCTCGCTACTCATGTCGCTAACTTTGTCATACAACCTCTCCTCATCCTCGTATCCAAAAATTCACCCATTATAAACGCCCCCAATCACTTCGTAACTCATTCCTAGGGACACCAAGGTTGAATCCCTGGTGGCCCCCTAACCCCCCCCCCATACATGCCCAACCCAGGAGAATAAGGAATAGTAAAAAAGATTCGAAAATTAAAAATAAAAAAAAGCAGACCCCCAGAACAATATATACCACAATGGACAGACGAAATAAAACTAAGAGAAAGAGGGGGAAAAATAGAGAAACAAAGGCGTTGAATTAGGGCCCCCCATCTATAACATTTACGACGAACCGGAACTTGTACTCAACTTTTTCAGCAACGTATCGAATCGACTTAGGAGATCCGCGATCCGGAATGGCTTTGATATGGCATCGTCCTGTGATGGTTAGCCACTCTCTTCGAAGGTTGCGGGATGGAGCACAAGCGCGTTCAGGAAGGGAAAACGTACCATTCCCACTTCAGTCATCCTCGCTACTTGCTCCGGACGGGCGTTGGCGCTAATGCCCATTATTGGAACGTGCCGTCTGATCTTGCCAGATCTTTCCAGCTCCCTGATCTTCACTGTCGCTGTATTTCCATCCATCACGGGCATCTCCATGTCCTATAATCACCGCATCAGCACCTCACCCATGACAGATAATGGGAGACCGACCATCAAGATAACGTCAATCTTAGTCGCTCCGTCCTTCACGAATTCACTCTTGATAATAAAATCCAACGCCTCCTGCCCATTACCTGCCACATATGTCACACATCCTTGATTCCGCAATTGCCTCCTCAGAACCTCCTGATTAATCAGATTATCCTCTACAATCAAGACCCCATAACTGATCTGCTGCCTTTTCTGAACCCCTTCCGTTGCCTTCGGTGGTGGGTAGTCCTTCGTTGTTATCAACTCTGGCTTTGGCAGTTCAGGGTATTCCACGGGAGCTATATTCGAACCAGGTGAAGGTGCGGTACTGGACTGGCGGGCTTTTATGTAGAAAGAGAAGGAGCTACCTTTGCCCTCTTCAGAATACACACCGATCTCTCCACCCTGGATACGACAGAGCCGACGGCAGATGAACAAACCCAGGCCCGAACCACCATACGTAACGTGCGTACGGGGAACCTGTTCAAAACGCTTGAAAAGTTTCGTTTGCCACTCTGCGCTAATTCCAATACCGCTATCCTGTACAATGTCAAAGATTTGAAGGCATGGTAAATGTGAATGAAATACCTGAACAGTGACCAGGATGAATATAGGGTCACCGGTTCCCCATTCCTGGGCCATGTCTTGTGGAAGGCGATCCTCGGACTCCCGGTACATGACTTCGCCATGAGCTGTCGGCCTCTCCAAGGTCGCTCCTAGCTTGATAGTAACCTCCCGTTTTCCAGCTTGCTGGGAGGTGAATTTGATAGCTTGAGAGATCAGCACACGCCCAATTTAAAAACCGCAATCGCACGAACCGTTTGTCAAAAGATTCATCTGGCCCAACCACAGTTAAAAAGCTAATCATAGAGCCAGACCCGAAAGACCTACCAAAATCTGCGAGAACCGTGCTGGATCAGCCTTAACCCAATCAACACTCAGCTCCTTGTAAGATTCCTCGAGCTAGTCGAAATATTAGTTCAAGGATACCTCGCATTCAGAAATGAGAGTAGGACTCACGATAAACTCAGAAGTGATGCCCTTCACGTGCAATTCAGACTGGAAGATCTTCATCAATTGGGATATAACCGCATGAATCTGTACAACTACAGGCACGACACTCAGAAGCATCGAGTCTAGCTTACTAAGGGTAAGAACGTCATCTATGATCCGCATCTATCTTCTTGCGTTAGCTCAATACTGCCCCCTCCCCATATCCCCCCTCCCCTTAACACATAAAAACCAAAAACAGACTTCACATGACTGGTCTACAAACAGACCTGATGCTGCACGCAAACCAAAATTGTGGACGCTGAATCAATCATCTCCTCCAGATCCAAATTACTATCCTCCCCTTTTTGATATGCAATCAATGCACTCAATATCCCGTCTGCGCACTGCAACGTTGCCGAGAACGGATTTCGAAGTTCATGACTGAATATGTCAATAAAGTTTTCCTGCTGACGTCGCCGCTCAACAGCTTGTGTAGATAGCTGCCGCTGATACTCCTCGTTAAGTTTGACACTAGTAATGTCAACCAATGTTAAGATGTACCCTGTAACCTCTTCACCTTTGGAGGCCGGCGCCTCTACGGTCTGCACAACAACAGAACAAGAAACCCAATACTTCCACCCCGGAGACCGCAAAGGGTCGTTACCCAACCTGCACTCAAGCTTCATATTCGACCTCGTTGCAACTGCGTTGTCGAAAGACCTGGAGACCCGTTCCGCGTCTCCTTTATAGACCATCTCCCGCCATGTATCTCTTTCATGCTCTACTGGAAACCCCATCAAATTTCGATACGCCTCATTCTCAAACCGGATTTTCCCATCAATATGTAATATCGCCAACCCCACTGGTATCGTTTCAGCTGTGCGCGTGAAAAGTAGCTCACTCTTTCCGAGCTCCTCAGTCCGCTTCTTCAACAGTTTCTGCAACTCTGCGGCTTGAGCGCGAGTTGCCCTTTCAGTCTCTTGGTCCACAGCCATAGGGACTTCTGCCCTTAAAAGCCTTACTCTCCCCGTTGTCGTAGATAGCTCCTTCATCAGTAATTCTATCCAGAGTCGACAATCTGCATCAACAGGCCTCCGCGGATTCAACCCGAGTATGAGGAAACCTTGAGTGATTGAACCCGTTGTCTGGATGGGTATAACGGCAGCGCGGGTGGGCGGTTCATCAAACCCCCGGCACATAATAGTTTCACTCTTGGGTAAATTGTCCATATACTTGATCACGGCCGCGTTATTTTCCCGCGCTTGAACCATTTCGTTGGCAAAATAGCAAGACCGCTCCTTGAGATCACACATGTTGGGTGCCAAAATCCCACCTTCGGGAAAACCGACGTTCCCTTCAAGCACGCAGTATTCATTCTCGCCACTGGCCCAGGAATCCTCATCCACCAGTGTACGATAGATGAGCATAAAGGGAGAGTCGAGAGGGTTGTCGCTGAAAGCCTCTAATGCCCTTCCCCAAAAGTTGTCTCCATTCAGATCCCTTACGGAAGCCATTAGCGCCCCCATCTTTCGCAGCGTCTGCATCCTCCTAATTGATATAATGTGTCGACTGAGCTCAAACGCTTGTTCCAGAACACCCTCGGGTGCACCGGAATCGCCAATTATTGCCGATATTGTGAAATCAAAGTAGCATTCTTCAACCCAATCACCGCGGTTGAGAAATAATTGTTCCGCCCGCTTGACGATAGATCTCCCGTGACGGAATGCCCCATCAAGTAGTGGCATGAAATAGCTCTGGAGCTCCGACCATCCCTGGGCAAATCCCTTCCCAAGAATCCGAGGATCCTTGCTCTGCGCTATCTTAACCCATTGATCATTATACAAGATCATATATGACGGGCCCCAGTATATCGAGGTAGGGTAAGGCATGGCCATTATCGAGTTTGCCCATGTGCGCAGAGAGCTTGACCACCCGTCGAGGGGGCCACAAGACGTAGTAGACCTAGAAAAGCATTAGAAGGCACAAACCCTGGGGAAAACTCATACCACTTGACGTTCCCGAGGTTGCGGAGGTGTCGAGTAGAGTTCCTGTACAAGGGGTTTCTGATCCAATCCATCGATGGCCCAGTAAGTCGCGGGTATAGTTTACTGCAGGCTAGCCCAGCCTCGGACACAGCAAAGACTGGAACAGATAACAGTTTGTCCCCATCAGAATCACCAGCCTCGAGAACCGTGCCACCAACTTCGAAATCCCCCTCCCGGCCCACTACCCCCTCTTCCTCCTCGCCATCCCCAGAGTCGACAGGCAGGCAATCACTTCCGGTATCAACAAGTTCCTCGTGTAGGCCCCCCATAATCCCAAAGTCTCCATTCACAAGCATCTCATCATGTCCGCCGGCCCCATACCCCCGAGGCTGCACCTCCACCTGAACCCCTACATTATCCTGAAAATCATCAAAAGTGCTCGGCCGAGGATCCTCCCGGTCGGGAAGATCGATGCCAGGCGGGCCAGGGATGCGAGTGGCGACAATAGCCCTAACATCCTCCACCCCAATATCCATAGACTCGAACCTCCAGAATCCATCATCGAACGTCCCACTCTCCCGTACAAACAACTCGTTCAGTAGGCCGTCCACGGAGTTCTCAGGGCCCGCCCGTGTGCGTAGCGTCCGATAGGCTTCATTCTCCCACAAAGGTTCTGGGCCCTCGAGTGAAGCGATGAGCGTAGGCCTTGGATCCGTTTCCAGAAACTTGAGCAAGAGTTGAGACAATGAAGCGTTTGTCTTTTTCTTGGGCATCCTGAATATATGGGGATATGAAGGGTTTTAGTCCAGTGCGGAGGAGTGCGGGGGGGTAGGTAGATAGGGAATGGGGAAGGGGAGGGGGAGGATACATACGCGTGCGCAGAGGGAAAAGTCCTGATCCTGATAAGCCAAAATAGAGTCCAACCGACTAGCGATTAGAGGATTATGGGGATCGCCGGCACTGTAAGAGTTAGGAGAATTTAGACTCCTTACGGTTAGACTAGGGTAGAAGTCTCTTAAGATGCTTCTTTTTCTTTTTTTCTTTTTCTCTTTTTTTCTTCCTTTTTCCTCTTTTTCATTTCCTCTCTATTTTCCCTTTCCCTCCCTCTCTACCTCAGCTTTCACTTTCCACTTCCTTCCCTACAATTCAGTGCGGCAACGTATCACATTTCCCTTTCCCCTCCTGTAGGGCAAGGAATCCCCGGGAGTGAGAACCGAGATGCGTTGATTCGCCACAAGCCTCTGTGCAACCCTGGCATAGGGAAGAAATGGTGCCCGCAGTGGACAGAGGGGCTCCGAGTACAAGTACCATACAAGTAGAAAACCCGACAAACCTGACATCATTATGGCCAAAACTCTACTCGTATGACACAGCTTCCATGGTTGAATCCGACCGTAGTTATCACATCAGCACCGCAATTTGGTTTCATACAAGTTGTTGGCGGCGAATCACGCTTAGACTATATATTCTCAGGGATGCTGCTCTCGAGCGCCAGTGTCGCTACTATGCGGCTGTGCCTTTGTGGGTGGGCATAAGAGGTCCGCTCGCCCGCTGTAGGGGCAGCAACACCAACATCAGGAAAGGGTACTTGTGGCCTACCGTGCCGGTATTCTTGCTATCCTACTCGTGCTCGTACCGGGGAATGCCAGCGAAAGTTTTGGCAGTTTTCACCCTGACAGCTGGTGGCTGAACACACGCACCACCAGACTACTTCCCTAAGAGCTGGTCGACGACCATTTTAGGGTTAGGAAGCAGAGTGAATCCCAATCCTTATCCCTCCCATGCCTGAGCAACAGCGTTCTGTAGTGTCGTCAGGTGCCGTACCGGTACCCCGGCCGAGTACGGGAGAGTTGCCATCGCCGTGATGGACCCATCAACCCAACCAACGTGCCCATAGTAGACTAGCTACCGTAGTATCACAGGTTACCCCACAGTACCTGTACAGTACCCTACAAGTGTCCAGGTACTCAAGCATGCCCAACTGACCTGTCAAGAGAACCCACCCATTTACTCGAGTACCTACTGGAGTACAGGTGCTTAGCGTACCCGAGGAATACCCGAGGAGTAAGCTTTCCACCGCCTATCATTTTTCGCTGATCCCGACAAAACTTTCCATCCACCGGCATACCCTCAGGTACGGTACTTTGTTTCAATCGTGTCCATCTCTGGGTTGATCTGGTGTGCTCAATCGATCGACTCGCAATCGAAGACAGGGTTCTAGGATGTACGGTATGATACGGTATTGAACAGGGGAATTTCAGGGTGGGAAAGTTTTTTTTCGCTTTCCTACAAGTGGTTGCCCTTAATTGGTAGGTGGGTGTAGTTAGTCATAACTCTTCACTCGAAGACCCTTGGCAGCGACGAGGTTGCTCGGTGCAAAGCACACCAAGATCAAGGGGTTTTCGAACCAACCACATGGGCGGAAACAGCATGAGAAGAAAAAAATTCAAATAGTATGATAATTTGCTGCAGTAGCGTCCAGATGGAAGGTCTGGGGTTCTCTCCTTCAATCCTCCTACCCGTAGAGTAGTAACGTATATAATCTCATTTTTTTTCTTCCCTGATGTGATACCTGCCAAGACTAGAGCGGTAATTTATCAAAATTTACCCAGCCCAGATACCGGTGTGGAGAATTGCTTGATTTGGAGGTGCCTTTCATGTATTTGATGGGGAGGAGGCTTTGGATATTTTTCATGTGTAAGAGGGGGCTTGGCGTGCAGGATTTTCTTCTTATAGCTTTCTCTTTTTTTCTCTTAGCAACAACGAGAACACACACACACCCACCACTGGGAAATAGAACTTTTCATCTCTACCGAACTGAGCCTACATTTCTTTCATTGATTCCTCTGTGTTGTTTGTGAAATTGATCACTGCTCATCAGTCCCGATTATCAGGCAACTACTTTCTGGTATATTGGGAAAGTAAAGTGAGTTAGCAGGTAGGGCACAGTGCGTAGTCAAACCACCATCCAGAAAAAGGGAAAGAAAAAACCCCCCCCTGACAAAGTGGTGCTCTGAAATGGATTGGTGGTAAACTTTGACCCCTTCGCCATACCTTACCTGCTAAGCATCATTCGTTTACTGGATATCGGAATAAGAGACACAACAGAGGTATTATCTGAAGAAGTGGTAGAGGGAAAGGACGACTGTGACTTGCAATTCCGTTTCGGGCAAGATTTTTTTCCTCCGACCGATCTAGAGAATTTATTTTCATCACCGTTAAGCAGTTCAGATTCTCATTCAGAGTATTTCCCAGTTGTCTCATTGATAATGAATTATTATCAAAGATCACCTGGTATGGAGTTCACTGGAGATGATGATTCGATTAGCATTGAAGCCTTTCTGAGTTGGATGGAATCATGGCTTGCGATATTGGGACCAGAGTTCAATGGTAGTACGATGCAGTCAAAACGGCTCCGTGTAGCCCAAATTCATATGGCGTACCCGATGAAATCTCCTGCAGGGCCCTTTTTGAGACAACTTTCAAATGAGGTTTTATGGGATGAGGCTGCATTCACGAAAGCATTGGTGGAGCAATTCCAAGATACAGACTTGGATGATCAAGCTTACGGAGAGATCCTTTCAATTATGAGCAATGTTAGATAAGGAGAACGGGACGTATTCCCCTATTCACGAAAGGTTCTCAAGCTTCTTCAAAGAAAGCCATCGGATGTCCCACAGTTGGATTACGTCTTAATTGGTTACTACATCGACGGTCTCAAAAGTCAATGGTTGCATGAAATGGCAACAGTGAGCTTCCGCAGAGCAAGGTCACCAGAAACCCCATATCAGGTTGTGAAAGGAATCATGCGGCTGGCATGGCAGCTCAAGATCAAAGGCTACGACAAGTCTAGCAATCGGGACAATGAGGACACGAGTGATGAGGACGAGTTTGGTTTCTCAGATGATTCGGCAAGTGACTCAGACTCTGAGTTTGAGGAGTATCGTCATTATTCGAAGAAGCGGAAAGGCCCTAGAAAAGCTACAAAGGCAAAGAAGACAAGTAGCAAGAAAGGATGCCGGACACAGTACAGAAATGGCAAGAGAAGTAAAGGGATCGAGGACGAGGAGGATACTGTACGAGGAAAGGTTCAAGAGTTACAGGAGATGATGCGGGATTTGTTGAAACTGCAGAAAGGGACGGCAGCTGATACCGAACGTGCAGTCGCCACTCAGCAGGAGACAGAAATCATTCCTCTTGACAGTTATGCTGTTACAGATGGCTATGGGCAATACCCTCAGGGAGGAGGACACTTGCGAGAATATCAGAGCACCAGCTATCGAAGTGGTCCAGGTGACTATTATCCAAATCGACGAAATCAAGTACCACGGATGGAGAACTATAGCCGAGGGCCTCAAGGGGGTCAGGCATTTTTCAATGGGATGCCAACAGAGCCCAGACGTGGAAGGCCAATGGATAGTCTTCGCTTTTCAGATCACGTTAGACAGCCAGGACCTGGGTTTGTCTCGCAACATATAACTGCACTGCCAGAGCCTTATCAAGCGGGACCTGCATCTCCTGAGAGTTCTGTATCTCAGCCTATTGTGGGACCTAATGGGTTGTTATACCATCCAGCTCATCAGCAGGTATGTTACTATTGTCAAGAAGAAGGCCACTTACGCCCGCAGTGTCCAAGATTACGGGGGTATCAATCTGCATCGAGATCAGCAGCTGTTGTATCCGAACATCCAGATCGCTCATCTACACCGAGGGAAAGACTGTTAGTCCAAGGTGACAAGCCAGTTAATGTAGTAGAGGTTGCTACTCGGTCCTCAGCGCTAGATGGTATGAAGATTCGTGAGGTAACTGGAACTGAAGTAGAGCCTTCGGATTTGACAGAATTTCTTCGCAAGGTGTAAGACAGTGAGGATGATGATGATGATGATGATGTATCTGAAGAAGATGGAGCTCTGGTAATGGCTGGAGAGCGAGCCCATCATTTTAGCGAATTACCACTTGAGTTTGATGCAGAGGCCAGACCTGCGAGCCAACGACAACGAAGAGATACTGAAGATGATGAGGTTGTAGAATTGACCGCAGGAAAACAGAAGGTTAAGGCTCCTATATTAAAGGGTGTACACAGGCCAATTCGGATGATGGCAGGTCAGGAGAAATTTGACTTTGTTGGTGCCTTTTGGGATGCTCCAGTAATCGGGCTGAATTGGAGTTCATTCTTTGATCTTGCACCTTCGGTCAAGAAGGATATTTGTCATTTATTGGTTCAAGAACAGGCGAGAGGCTTTCAACGGGCTAAGGGTAAAGCCAAGGAAAAGAAAGTTATGATGGACATGCAAGCAGGAGCAAAAGAATTTCCTAGAGAGGAAGAAGCGCTGGCTGTAGCTACAGATCGAGACTTGGGAGATGTCATGAACTTCTACATAAAGGGAATTATCAAGACAGAGAAAGGCAGTTATCGCATTTCTAGAATCTTGGTTGATGCAGGCTCGGTTGTTAATCTCATGCCGATTCATCTATTACGGTTGGTTGGCGCAAAGATGAAGAAAGCTGGAGGGATGGTTATTCGAACAGCAACGAATGCCCTGGCGAAGATTGCCTGCTGTGCAGATATTCGGATCACGATTGCGGGCGTCCCATGCGATCTCCGTATTTATGCTCTTCCAGAGGAATACAAGCCAACATATCCTCTATTGTTGAGTAGGCGATGGCTTCAAGCAGTTAAGGCCAAGGATGATTATGCGACTGGCAAGTATTACATCATGGGCAGTCAAGGTGCTCGAGTACAAATACCAAGTGATGAACGCTACAAGAATGTTAGGAGAGAAAGTTTGGAAAGGCGGAAACCCCGCATACCAATT